GGTTTTCGATATAACTATATTCATATCAAACTAATGTGTTTTGTTAAGTCTGTGATTAAGCTATCAGATAATCTGGAATCAAATCACGTTTGGGTGCTGGGAGGCGTTTCACAAAGTCCTTTTTCAATGAAAAATGACAAAATTCAGCGACAAAACTGCTGATAACCAATCAGAAGCAAGGATTTCAGTAGCTTATAACAAAAACTGTCATTTGTCACTGATGACATGTTTTGTGAAACGGGGCCCTGGTCTGACTCTAATTTGACAGTCAAACGCAATTCCATAAATCTAAAGCAGAGCCTAGCTAGCTCTAATCTCTGGCCCTGAGCAGCTACAGTACAGAGTTCAGTAGACCGTGTAGTTGAATAGTCTCTTATTTCAGACACTCTGCCATGTATTATAGTTATGACTTACAATGGTTTGAGTCTGCATGCAAACTATATACACCTGTCTACAAAGGCCACATTTGTTGCTTTCCTTGAAAATAGTTTCTCATTGAATCATGTACTAAAGGAACCTGTCTACAAAGACCACCTGTCTACAATGGCCACTTTTTGTGTTTCCCTTGGGCGGTCGCTATAGACAGGTTTGACTGTAGTTAGATTCAACCGATTGATTCAGATGTATTTCATCTCTTTTTACCGTACAGGCTTGCAATTAACAACCATTGCCGTATGCCTACTGTGTGTCATCATCATTACGTTACTATGGTGCGTGTGGTAAGTACATGTATGTCCGTGTTATATCATTCTTAAAATCGCTCTGTCGCATTCTGACATTCCGACATTATGAGCTCTTATTGCGAATAATATACCTGGATATATCAAGAAGTTGGAGCAAACTCTAACGCCTAGGTCGTATCGGGGGGTGGGGAAGAGTTCGTCATATCTACGATGTTGAGAGCCCCAAATATTCACAGTGTCTTGTCAGTTTGAGTCTATGGCGATCTCATTACGTCTCTATTACGTTCTTATGGCGTCCTCATATGCGACCGACGCGAAAGACCAGGGAAAGTGATTTGGGAATTATCGGGGAGACTCTGGAGATCCAGCAAATACAGTTTATCGGACATGACATTTTTACTTTTTTTTGGTGTTTTAAAAAAAATATTAGATTGCATGCACATAGGCAGAGCTAAAGTTGAGCGTAATGCATTACACTTTTGTCCACTTTTTTATAGACTTTTATATGTTTGCTTTAGATTGCTCATTGATTTGGTTATATAAACCTTTTATATTTAGTCTTTGCTACATTCATTGCAATAAAATACCAAAAATTGAATCTCACATACTTTTAGCTTGAAATGATGAGAACTAATAACAGGATTCGACCTTTTGACCAAAATCATTGTTGCCAAGTTTTGCCCCCGGCAAAAGTGAGATTTTAAGATAATTATACGTAGGCCTACACGAACTTCAAAATATCGATAAACGAATCAAATGCAGCTTTTTCTACTATTTCTTTCGATATTATCATTAAGCTTGAAAAGGTAGCCCAAATATTCCTGGACTTATCGCCGATTTTATGATTGTTTTTTATTTTCCTTGGAATTGCCCATGCCAAGCAGTTTACATATAGCGCCACCTACTACAATTGGATAATCGTCAGAGTGCTATTTCACAAAAGTGCAAATGTTAGATTCAAGAAAACAACATTCACAAATTCTTCTTTAAAGCCCCATTGTCCTACTTGTAGCTACTTGCTCCCTCTATATAGAAAACTTCCCCAATCGGTGCCTGTTGATCCCCCATGATCCTCTTTTTCTTATGTTAGTTGAGAGCTGAGTTAATGAGATAGCCACCTGTCAGTGACCTCGCTGTGTGGTCTAATCCCTTCTGGCCCAGTAGTATTGATGGTCTTTAAAAAAAAATTCACATTCGTCACGTTTCACGACGCTTGTAGCCTTTTTTTTATACTATGGAATTAACGGAGCGGCTAAACTAACCAGCGCTCATCAAACAGGATAGTACCAGGCTGGGATTCGAACCTCGTACCTTGTGATCTACAGTCTGTTGACTTTTTCTCAGTAGACCAACAAATTCTCGTAGACTTATCTTCTTAAATGAAAACGAAAATAAAATACAAAATAATAATTTGATAAAGATTGATATAAATTAATGGATGGGGTTCTGTTCAAGTGGATGGCATTATTTCCTGATACATTGCACTTTAGTATTAACACACTGGCAACTATGTAACGTTCGTTCGAAATCAATTCCGAGTTCAAAACTGGATCAAAGTACATGTCAAACAAAATGGCCTATATTCAAACCGCCTCCGAATCATCCGATGAAACCTTGTTTGTTTGTTCGTTTGTCCGAAATCCATATATACATACAAGTTTTAAAAACACACACATATAAAACATATTTCAAACGATAAGAAAATAAGTAAATGTGTAAAGTATAGACAAACGGTTGGATAGCCCATACATTTAATTCATGTTTAGTCTTTCTCAATTTTTGCCTAGTCTTTCTCAGTCTCAGTCTGAGTCTTTCTCAGTCTCATCGGTGCGACCAGGATATAAATGGAAACATTATAGATTAACATGGTTAACATAAAAAGTTGAATAGAACATACACACACACACATATATATATATATATATATATATACAAATAGGTTAGAAGGCGAGAAATCCAAACAAGCCCTAATTTAGAAGAAGAATGCGAACAGAAAAAGAATTAGATGAAAAACAAATCAGTTGTATTTGTTTGCTATTGAAAGTCAAACATGATATTACAAATATTATAAACTGCTTTTGAAATTATAGTAAGTTGGTTTATATTTATAGTTAATGCCCTTCCGGATCCAAACAGAACTTGATTTGAACCCAGAAACTTTTTATACACTGCACCTCTTCTTTTATATATTGCTCTTTGTTTTCCAACCTGGTCAGTGAAAACCTATAACCTGCATGACAATCAAATAATATTCTACTATGAAATAATGCAACAATCTCCTTAAACATTCAGGCCATTAACCATTAAGGTAATTATATTTGATCGTGGGAAATATGATTACGGAAATGTGTGTAATATGTAACAATCTCCTTAAACATTCAGGCCATTAACCATTAAGGTAATTATATTTGATCGTGGGAAATATGATTACGGAAATGTGTGTAATATGTAAATCTATTTATAAGTGTACAACTTAAATGACTTATTTGATCAGTCGAAGAGAAGTACCACTTATTCAGACGACTCGGTAACTATGGTAACTCTGATTTATTCTTACAAAAAAGGATAAAACGACACCGGAAACCAAGACGAAGGCAGAGTAAAATCGATATGGAGTATGCTGTCAAGTTTACTTATCCGCGAAGACTGACTCACTCTAAAACGGGTAACGGGGATGCAATCACAGTGACTGGTATGTATCACTTTGAAAACCGCTTCCTCTAAAAAGGCATTTTCAATACTCTAATGGAGATTGAATAGAAATCAATAAGGCTAAAAATATCGAATAATTACCAGGGACTATAAACCCTCGTATGTGTATTGTAATTTCTTTGTCAGATTATTTCTAACATGTCTTACTACAGACTAATTAGACTCATAAAATAATGCCTGATTTACAACGGGGCCATTCTTCTGGTAAAAGATGGTTTGGATAAAAACATAATTGATAGAACTACACGAGAGCTACATAATTACTTGATAAATATTATCCTTTCATTTTAATGGGCATTTTTTTTCTTGTTTTGATGTTGTTGTGACCATTTTTATACTCTCTCATTTGTTTTACGTATTAAAATACCTTGATGTCTGATACTTTTCTTATTGCCATACAATTATTAATATTTTGTAAACTTGCAAACAATGTTGATTAACATGTAGTTGTTAAGCTTCTACCAACCTGGCACTGCACTGCCTGGTGTCCTGTGATCACTGGATCAAAGATCGGTGACAATAGGTACCCAGAGTCCCTGTTTAGTGATGGCTTAATTCTCTTAATCCACATGGACTCTTTCACCTTTCTTGCCCAGAAGTTACTTTCAAAGTCTATTATGAGGGCATCCTCCCATCCAATGTTATGTCCTGTATTGAGGGCGTGTTCAGCTAATACTGAATGGGATGGGTTGCTCAATCTGAGGGCTCATTTTGTGATCTTTTAGACGCTCATTAAGAGTTCTGCCAGTTTCCCCAACATATGAATTGTTACAGTCTGTGCACGTAATCTTGTATACAATATCTGTCTTTTCCTCTCTTGGGATTTTGTCTTTTGGGTGGACCAACCAGTGTGTTAGGGCTTTTGAAGGCAACACTGGTGTCCTTGTCTTGGAATGCTCGTTTCAGACGAGAGGATGTAGTGTTGACAACAGGCGAACTACTCTGTTGTTCACTTCTTCCTTTTCCTTTTTTTTTGGGGGGGGGGGGGGGTCTTAGTTCTTATTCTGTTCTTCGCTCTTTGTCTCATGCATGTTGGGTATCCACAAGACATAAGCGCCTTGTCAATATGTTGGAATTAACTCTGTAGTGCATCATTGTCCGAGGTTACATTTTGAGCTCTCAGATACAATGAGCTAGCAACTCCAACCTTTGTGCTGAGGGGGTGGTCTGATTCGAAGTTCAAATAAGAATCATGCCCCCACCCCCCTAGGATATGGTGGAGGTACGTTGATGACACCTTTGTTATCATTGATCATCAGCATATTGACGAATTTACTAATTACATCAATAGCATCGACCAAAACATAAAGTTCACCGTTGAGGAAGAGGTTCAAAGGTCACTGAACTTCCTGGACACAAAGGTCTTTGACCTGTCAGATTCCATCGCCGTGTACAGGAAACCAACCCACACTGATTCGTATTTGAACTTCGAATCGGACCACCCCCTCAGCACAAAGGTTGGAGTTGCTAGCTCATTGTATCTGAGAGCTCAAAATGTACCCCGGACAATGATGCACTACAGAGTGAATTCCAACATATTGACAAGGCGTGTATGTCTTGTGGATACCCAGCATGGATGAGACAAAGAGCGAAGGACATAATAAGAACTATAAGATCCCCCTCCCCACCCAAAGGAAAAGGAAGAAGTGAACAACAGAGTATAGTTCTTCCTTTTGTCAACACTATATCCTCTCGCCTGAAACGAGCATTCCAAGACAAGGACATCAGTGTTGCCTTCAAAAGCCCTAACACACTAAGAAGTAGGTTGGTCCACCCAAAAGACAAAATCTCAGGATAGGAAAAGACAGGTATTGTGTACAAGATTACGTGCACAGACTGTAACAATTCATATGTTGGGGAAACTGGCAGAACTCTTAATGAGCGTCTAAAAGATTACAAAAGAGCCCTCAGATTGAGCAACCCATCCCATTCAGCATTAGCTGAACAGGATGTCCTCGTAATAGACTTTGAAAGTAACTTCTGGGCAAGAAAGGTGAAAGAGTCCATGTGGATTAAGAGAATTAAGCCATCACTAAACAGGGACTCTGGGTACCTATTGTCACCGATCTTTGGTACAGTGATCACAGGACACCAGGCAGTGCAGCGAAGCAAACGTGTGACTCAGACTGATCACTTACCTTGAGAAAGTCCACAGGAGTGGACGAAAGCTTGCATAACAAAATTAAGGTTGGTAGAAGCTTAAAAGCTACATGTTATCATCATCCCCAACTGATGATAGTTTTCTGTATCATTGTTGATTTATATTATTTGTTCCATTGTTACACTCTTGTAATACCTTGTTACCTCCACGGAGATTATAGTCTAGGCGTAAAACGGAGGGATACATGATGTGTCTATTAATAACTATTAAATGAAGCCACCTTGTGTATAGTTAGCTAATCCCGTTGTTATGCTATCACATTGAATATTACACGATGCAGACAAAACTGCGGGGATTGTATGTATCACCCAGAGCACTCCGAAGGTTGAACCACGGTCTGACAGCCTGAGACCAGCCCCCTCTCATCCTCCAATGGATGCAGCCGGTTCTCAGGAAACACAGGTCCTCGACTTCAAGCATAGGGAGGAGGAGCCATCACCGGGTGGTCAGGGAGATGAGCAGAGAAAGGAGGATGTTGCTGAGGTCGAAGAGATGAAGAGGGAGGATGAATCAAAAGGCTTCAATCATCAAGAAGACATGGAGTCCTGTGGACATACAGAAGAAGCTACCATCGGTCCTGTATCAGTCGAGGAGTTTGCAGACCATGTCAAGATAATGAAAGATGACAGTACAACTTTCGACGATGAATGGGCCGTAAGTTATCTTCAACTCAGAATAAACAGAATGAATGGGCACATTAGTTCAAGATATACATGCGTGTGGTGCGCTTTAATGATTCTGTTAACACTAAATCATATGTTTCCCCTTACCTCTTGTAAGTATAGGTACATACTTGGGTTGCATTTTGGTTGAATTTGCCATGATAATGGAAAACCAAGAGACTTGATCAAATTATTTTTAATTTTCATTTCATTCATTTGTCGAACGTGCATAACTCATTTGCCCATCACACAAATTAAACGCTTCGACATTTAAAAAAATACCGAACATTAATACATGAGGGGCATACTAGGAAAATAATCAATAATCCTTTCGATTATTTGATTTTGTTTCTTTAAACTAGGTTTTTTAAAGGCCCACTGCACTACTTGTAGCTACTTGCGCCCTCTATACAACAAACAATGCCTAATCGGTGACCATTGGTCCCCCATGATCCTCTTTTTCTTATGTTATCTGAGAGCCGAGTTGATGAGATAACCACCTGTTCAGTGACCTTGCAGGGCGGTCTAATCCCTCCTGTAAACTATGGCAGATAAGCTTTAAGTGTTTCTGTTACGATAATTCCCCTTGTTCCATTATGTAAAAAAGTTTTTACTCCACTTGATTTAAATAAATCACTTGGTTATCACAAACATTGCTAGATTCTGTTATGTCAGACAGATAATTCTATGTCTAATGAATTCACTCATCCCACCCATTTGTCCGAAAAGTAAAAAGAAAAAAAAAAAGGTTTCTCTGAACCACAGATAACCCTTCTGTTCATAAAAAAAATGACCAATATGATATTTATAATTTGTGTTTATTTACGTGTATTTTCAACCATGACATCATGTTTGGGTTCAACGACATTTGCTTGATGCTCAATACTAGGGACTTTTAGATTTGCGTGGACTGATACGTGTGACGTCCATTCAAGGCAGTGCATTAAAAGGACGTCGATCGTAGTAATCCCCATTGTCTTCGCGCGAATCTAAAAGTCCCTATTACCGAGGGACACGTTCTTAATAAGTTTATAGAGAGAGGGAGAGAGAACTGCGTCATAAGATTTATAATCTGTTGTCATGTTTAATTTTACAGCGACTATACGACCACAGATACAAGTTACAGACCTTTGCAATGATGGAAGCAAACTTCAAGAAGAACCGCTACAAAAACATTCTTCCTTGTGAGTCAACAACTTTTTCACCAAAACCTAAAATTTAATTTATCATCGTTAAAGAGTTTGTTACTCAGGTAGAACTATTTTTGTATTTGTGTTTGAATTAGAAAATTGCACGTACGTTTAGTGATCTTTAAGTGAATTAAAGTTCTGGTCATGCGATTGCATTGTGAAAGAAAAGGTGTGGAATGAATCAGAAAAAGTTGATCATGTAGCATGTAAGTATTGGTGTGTACTGCAATGTTCTGGAGTCATCAAAATCATAATAAATTTGGCCCAGTCTTGGTAAAGTAACATGCACTGTACACAGAAAGATGTATATGGGACTAAACAAATGGTGTCGGGGCTACTCCTTATCTTTCTATGCTCATTACTCAGCCAGTATACATTTTCTACCAAAATTGTTTGGCAACTGACATTTATTTGTAATCTTGAACATTCAGTGTAAGTTTCGTTTGATTCTGTGAGAATTCATTTTCTTTTTTTTTTACCAGAACTCAAGTTTATCTTTAAATTGAGAAAGTTGTAGCACAAACTTATCTCTATACGTTATCAATAAAACATAAATCTTTATTGGTCATGGCTTAAGTTTTTACTCAATCTCGTTTATTTATTCGATATCAATTATCTGATTAATCATATGCTTATTTGAAGATGACCACGCTCGAGTGATTCTTGACCTGATCGGAGATGACCCTCATAGTGATTACGTCAATGCTAGTTACATCCAGGTAAGTGAGGGCTCTTACAAAAACACATGCCATTTAAAATATGAGATAAAGATAACATGTAAAAAGTTGATGTATCTTTAGCAAAGTGCTTTATTGAGGTGAAAAGGGGTCTTTATATCTTTCTGGTTTTATCCCGCTAACAAACAAGAGTATGTGTCTTCTTTATAGGGAAATGAAGTGTATATGCAATGCCGGTCAGGAACGGTTCTATGATAACTGTTTTATTTAGGGGGGGGGCTTGGGGTTAGGGTGTCTTGCATTCATTTTCTACACGTGCCTCGCCTTTTTTTTGGGGGGGGGGGGGTGGAGTTGAAATGTTTTTGTTTGTGGGGGAGACCTTGACTCCGCAGCTTGAGCCGCCCAAAATCCCTCAAGAACCACTAATGATGCCTGTTGCACACGAGGTACATTATCAATACATATATTATACATTTTATTATCAATAACCTTTTTAAATATTTGTTTGCAGAGTTTCACAAAGGAAAATACCTACATCGCATCACAGGGTAAGCAAAGCGAGAGAAGGTTGAGTTCTGGGAAGAAGTGAAAAATATTTGTGAGCGTATTATCATTTTTATTTTGAAAGTGTGGAAGAACATCAGATCAAACATGTTTCCTGAAAAACATGGCTCTTCAAATGCCTTCATATTCTAAATATGTCATGTAACATCGTAAAATCGGGACGGATTTTTACGCCACGTGTTCGTGTTGTCCCATATACATCTTTCTGTGTACAGTGTTTGTAACTTACCCAAGCTTGGCCAAACTTCTTATCATTTTGATGGTTCCAGAACCTTGCAAGACACACGAATACTTATATGCTAGATGATCAACCTTTTCTGGTCGATTCCACATCATTTCTTTCACAATGCAATCGCATGACCAGAACTCAACTTCATCTTTAAGAAGTATATAACAAGTCATGTGGTTTGATTGAAAAAGTGCAATCTTTAAAGGGACCAAAATGCAAAAGGAATAACCCACTTCAAGGAGGATGCTCTACCCTCCATCAGAATGATGCAGCCCCATGTTGGTTCTCACATCATATAAGCTTACTAGCTTGTTTTTTCAAATACTTGCACTGGACTTAGCATATTTTACTGTAAATTAATAAGTGCTTTGTCCACGCACCATTCCAGCAATTAATGTGACTCATTGTGGTTACTCGCCTCACCTACCATCCCAGTATAGCTTCCTCGAAGCCTTCCTGAGTGAGCTGCCAAAGGGTTTACCCAACCAAGTACCAAGTTATTAGAAAAAGATAACACCGTCTTGTAGATTTGCGTAATGTCTGAACACTTCTTCAAACTTTCCCCAAAGCTTTATGAGTTAATTACCAAACTAAAATACGAACTCGTAATTGTTATAGTTGTGGAATTAAATTAATGAAAATGTCCCAATGCGTGAAGTACAACCTTAACATGTTTAGAAATCCCAACTGCTCTTAAACATCGTTTGATTTTAAATGTTTGACTAGAGATAGCTGGTGTAAAGTTGTATAAATGTTATAGGGAAGTTTAACAAAGATCCATTTATTTCCACGTTTAAAAACAACCTTTCAAATATGACAGTGTAACATGACTTGTAAACACGAAGGCCATCCTGGCATCAAGTTCATAGATGGAGGTGCAGAAGAATAAAAGTTTGAGGAAATCCAATAAGGGAAAAGTTCTGAAACGTGGACGTTAATATGGGTAGATCAAACACAGATTGATCATTCTGTGACTTCACTTGAGATCATTTTCCTCTCAAATTTGCATCAGGTATTCATAGATTTACGTTTTTCTGCCAACAAAAAAATAAATTATCTTTTCTATAGACAAGCCTTTTTTTTGCTTCAACGATTAGAAATCCAGAATTTTCGAACATCCTATGTTCAGTATGCTTTAAACCTTCACTGACACATTTCTATCATTTATTTTTGTTGTTATTTTTGTTATTGGTGGTGGTGATGGTGTTGTTGCTGCTTATGTTATTAGAGCCACGTTGATATCTATTCTCTTATCCCGTTATAACCAGAAAGTTTAGACAATTAATTTTGTTATCATAATACAGTACAGAATATTTTTGTGGGGCGGGGGTGAGTAACAAACAGTCATGGCGTCAAGTACCCTAGTCCAGCCTCTGTACCGTTTTCGTTTAGCGCACCCAATCAGCTGATAAAATAACACACCCTCAACGTTGAAAGTAGACCTAGCCATTCCTCTAAATCTGGGTCCTGGTTCGTGTGGACGGAAATTTGGGGATTGCGCGATCAGTGGAGAGACCGCGCTGTGTGTGGGGGATAAAAAGAACGAACGGACTGAATCTATTTGGGGATTGCGCGATCAGTGGAGAGACCGCGCTGTGTGTGGGGGATAAAAAGAACGAACGGACTGAATCTGGACTACAAGTACCCACGAATGTGTCGCATACAACTATAGAGATATCAGCTCAGCCCAATAAACACTCTCTCTCTCCCTCTCTCCCCGCTCTCTCTTTCTCTCTCTCTCTATCTCTCTCTCTCTCTTTCTCTCTCTCTATCTCTCTCTCTCTTTCTATCTATCTATCTAGGACCTAATGTAACTTCTATAGCTGATTTTTGGAGGATGGTTTGGCAGAAGGAGGTGGAAACTATTATCATGGCAACCAATCTGGTAGACAAGGGAAAGGTAGGACATGTGCATTTTTCTAAATAATTATCCTTTCTCCGTCATTGGTGTCCATGTGCATCCTCATTGATTCGTAACCTATCATCGTTGCCAGCAATCCCCCTCTCTCTCTCTCTCTCTCTCTCTCTCACTACTGATGGTTATTACTTTGATATGATTTGATTCAGATAGCATAAAGCATGTCTTGGAGCTGTATTACAAAAGAAAAAGGAAACAAACATCTAATTATACTACCCTGGTATAGTATTTGTACTGAGGATCATTTTGTGCCATAAATTATATCAATTTAGCTCGTACAGATATGTGATATTGTCTTTTGTTCGTTAATGTACAGTATTCGATTTCATATTTACACCACTTTTAAATGCAGTTACGTCATTGTGTGAACTGCAATACCCTTTCACTACTTAAATCAAAATTCGGTAGTTCACGTACACAGAATATTTGTCGTAAAAGGCTAAATCCTACAGATATATTGTATTACATCTCCTTTTTGTTTTTACTTGTTGGCTTATTAGTGTGGTTGTATGTTGCTGTTGTTTTTTATTTTTTACAATTCACTGTTTGCTTTAATTAGGATATATTGCATTTACATATTTGTATCATATACCTTACTCATTTCGCTATTTTTATGTTCAAATCTGTATTTATAACCTGGTTTGCAATTTTTTGTTTGTTAAAATTGTATTTTGTAATTTGTTTATTTTTATTTATATTTTGATGTGTTGATAAAATGTATTTACTTGTTTTTGTCATGAAGGGCCTCAACGAAAACTAGTATTTATTTGCTGATGGGCTACCCTTCTTTTTAAAGATGTGCAATAAATAAATAAATAAAAGTACAACGTTTGTCGTTACAGATCAAATGTGAGAAATACTGGCCTGATCAGGGTGAGGAGATGTATTTTGAGGACATAGTAGTGACGTGTGAAGCTGAGGTTCATGGCATACATGACGCCAGACGATCGCTCGTTCTTCACAAGGTATCACTAAAACAAGATTTTATTCCAAGTACCACTATGAACATTTTTTTTTTTTTAAATAAATGTAATGCTTCCTGGGAAAAATTTCAATAGTTTAAACATATTTGTGGGTGTTCTGGGTGTAAGCCACAAATATGTTTATTTTATGAATATATCGGACAAAGAAAGAGGACAAAATATACAGTTCCTCATTCTACCCTCAACAATTGCTGTGGTAGACAAAGGAACATCCCTGTTCTACACATTTTACATAATAGCAGTGAAGGGATGTTCCTTTGTCTACCACAGCAATTATTGTTGAGGGTAGAATTAGGAACTGTATATCTTGTCCTCTTTCTTTGTCCGTCATGTTCATAGTGAGTCCTTCCTAAAGAATTCAGGAACAATACTGTTCGTATTGCTAACCCTGTGATAACATGCAGGGCCTCCATGTGCATGATAATTTAAAAGCTATAACCTGATAATAAGTCAAAGATTTCTTCTCCTGTAGTATATTTTCTCCTCTACTCTAATCCTCCCCGTCTATCTCTCGCTGTCTCTCTCTCTCTCTCTCTCTCTCTCCCTCTCCCCCTCTCTCTCTCTCTCTCTCTCTCCCTCTCCCCCCTCTCTCTCTCTCTCTCTCTCTCCCTCTCCCTCCTATTTTTGCTTTTAATTTTCCCTTTAATTGTCTCTCCAACAGTTGTTGTTTTTTAAATCCCGTTTGAATACTCGGGAATGGAAAGAAAATTCAAGCATCAAGAGATCATTGAATACTAGCATGTTGTTCAAGTTTATGTCACTGCCCCCATACATCAGTATAACAATTGTGATTTCGCCCCCTACCCTTCCCCATCCTCATCGCCTTTGCTGTATCTTCTTTAACACATACTATATAGGACGAGGAGGTTCGTTGCTTGGATCACTTTCATTTCACTCGCTGGCCAGATAAAGGAGTTCCTAGGAACGTATCCGTACTACTCAGATTCATCCAAGAGGTCAATCAGTCACGTGATGATAAATCTACACCTCTATTGGTTCATTGCAGGTACATCATCAGGAACATATACAACAAATTATTTCATTTGAGAATATGGCTTGAGAAAGAGAATGAATGTAGGGTAACCATTAATATTGTGTGCATTTAGAGATGGGTTTCCAGGATTTATGACTTTAGAAGTTATATGGAGATTTCTATAATACTGAACGACGGGAGAATGACAACAACTGTCATAGGCATGATCGTGTGAAATTTGATTATGTAATGCTTGTAAGCTTGATGATACTGTAAAAGAAAAGTGCCTATTTGTTCGCTAACCTTGAAAAGGTTGACATTCATTTTCAGGGGATAATTCCTCTATGCTCATTGCTAAAATAGAACTGGGAGTGTTTCACAAAGGTCCTAAGTTGGACTAAACAATTGTGGAAAGCCGTTAGCATCTTTGAAGATATTTAAAAAAAAAGTTATTTTAAAAGGCATAACATGTTGATTCAAATCCTTCATATTTTCTAACATCAAGAAGCTTTCATCTTCTTGAAGTGGAATTCATGAAAAATCTAAAATGCTCTAATTTTTGCTTTTAAATATATTTGATTAAAAAAATGGATCTCTCAGTGTTAAAGTCCGAATTAGTTTCGACTTCTGATCTTTGGGAAACATCCCCCAACCTGGTGTTATAGTGAGATAGTTATTATCTGTTTATCCCTAGTGCTGGCGTGGGTCGTACAGGAGTGGTGATCGCATTGGATAATGAGATGCAAAGAGCCAAACAAACTGGATTTGTTGATATCTTCAACTTCGTTCGAGCGATGAGACAACGCAGACCACAAATGGTTCAAACACCTGTAAGTAGCCAATAGCAGACATAGTCCCAGTTGTTTTGATTTCACTAACGCATATCCTTAATTCTTCTTTCAACTACATGTGTGCGAGTCTGTGTATGTACATTTTCTTTTTTTCTGGTCTTTCTTCCTGTTTGTTGTTTTCATGATTACATTTACATTTGCTCGAATAACCAATCGTTAAACCGTGTTGTGTTATTCTTTAGGAACAGTATGAATTCATCCATGACGCCATGTTGGAATTTCTTGTCGGCCATGACACTATGATACCACGTGATCGATTCATCGAACATTTCGCTGACTTGCGGACCAAATCAGATCAAGATGTCACCTTGACTAAACTAGACCAAGAATTTGAGGTACAGTAATACGGACATTGACTTTGAGAAGACTGGGTGAAAGCGAATATTTTCTTTACAAGTGAAACTTTTTCTATGAAGTCTAACATTCAAAAGTATTGTCCTAATGGCGGACTGATGAATTCTAATAGGTCAGGATAAGGAGAGCTGAGGTTTTTGTTTTCAGTTCGTTACTGTGCCATGGACCAGTGATAGCTTAGCAATAGAGTTGCTGCCCGGCAAGCAGAAGATTGCAGGTTCAAAACCCGCTTGATCCAAGATTTTTCTGACTTGTTTTCTATTACCAGATTTCTTTACAACAATCGAAACTTCTCCCAGGAAGCTTAACATTATCGGCGTTGTCATATAGGTTTCTAGATTCATAAATCTTATAAAATAAAACAAATTAATAGAAATTGTACATTAAGATCTGTCTTTTATGAAGAGTAGGTCGTTATTGACTGTTTTAGATGAAAATAATGCTCGAAGTGGGGGAAGAATATAAGAAGGAAGAAAGGTCGAAAATAATGAAGAAATAGAAAGGCCATGTCATTGTAGAATTCAGGAACAAACTGATGGAGCAATCAACGTAATGTAAATTCAATATTTCACAGATGCATGCCTGTGAAGGCGTAATGTCGAGAAAACCAACTGGGGTTGACGATTAGAAGAGATTCAAATATTAACTTGAGGACCGCTGTGAGTCATGCCCTCATCAGATGACGTAGGGGCGGATCTAGCTTTTTGCCAAGAGTGGGGTTTGACCAAGTGGCGGATCCAGGATTTTCCAAAAATCGCGCCGTTATACAGTTTTACTTTTTTCTTCTTCTTTTTTCCCTTTTTTTCTTCTGCCCTCCCCCCTTTGTTTCCTTCACTTGGCCGCCCAAGGGGGGGGGGGGGGGTTAAACCCCCGAACCACCCTAGCACCCTAGATCCGTCCATGGGCTACTAATTACCACGTTTAGAAAACTACCGCTATACTGTCATGGGGCCTAACTCTTAAGTTTTCTCTCTTCTAGATCATGAACAAAGTTTGTCATGAGCCACCGATGGACGCCACCAACGTTGGAAAACTGGAAGAAAACGCATCAAAGAATCGCTACCAAAACGTCTTGCCTCGTAAATATAATTTCATATATGGTTTTAGTCATAGACATCAATCAACGGGGACGGGGGCAGTACCCCGCCCCCACTGGTTACATTGTGTACATAACTCACCCCCACCCCCGGACTCATAATTTGTTCATTCTGAAATCCTAATTTTTACGGTTTCCCAGGCCTCTTTTAATTTCCTTATTTTGTTCTATCTTTGTAATTATCTTCTTTGCTGTTGAGAATAATTGAATTGAATATCAGAACAAGGTATACATACTCGTCTAAATAGCAATCAGGAGAACACACTGTAGTTCCCGTAGCCAGACACATTTGTTTTTCCATAATGAATGCAATAAAATGTCATTGAGATTTGATGAATAGATGCGTGAAACAAGGTCATTATTCAGCACGTTTTCCTATCGATAGAAGGGTGGTGAATTACATTATCTTGTATATGTTTAAAAGGTTTTTGAAAATATGAGTTTATGGTTGATCGATTTCTAGATTTAAAATAATGATTTTGAATAATCACTGATTAAATTTCGTCAATCGAGATTAACTGTTGTTTGTATTAGTGATATTTCAAACATTTGAACTATTTTCTTAATGTTTAGGAGATACACATCGGCCTCTGTTAATATCCTTCAGTACTGATACATCCACCCAGTATATCAACGCAACATTCTGTCAGGTAATTTTCTTTTCGACATCATTTAATAATAAGAAGGGAAACATATCTAAGTGATATACACTTTTAATATTTCCTTCCTTGTCAACGCTAATTGAGTGAATATAATCACAGATATTGGAAGGGAAACATTGTCATATGTCCTTGTAGGCTTATTTTTCGGTATTTCATTTTTAAAATTAAAAATGAAGACTTTAAAATGTGTCTCACCCCAGGGGGGGGGGGGGGGCTATACTTCCGAGTGTGCTTTATAGTTATATATTTTTGTGAATTATACATATTATTTAGCGAGGTCGCCTTCAGACTCAAACAAAATAAAAAGTTGCATGGCTATATAAACTAAAGTGAACTGTACTAAAGTGATGGGATTAGGCAGTGCTAAATGATTATTTAGATTTTTTTTTCGTCATGTTTGGGGAATGGTACGGCCCCTTTCAGCATTTGATTCCTTATTAAGAGAGGGAGATGAGAGGGAGAAACAGAGGCAGATGGGAAGGGGAATGAAGTTTAATTCAAATAGAGCTTAGATTATTATTGTCAGTTCTCGCTTTTATGAAGAAATGGAAAACGCACATTAATCACATGCTATGTAGATCAGGATGTTTCAATCTCGTATTGAATTATCGTATCGTATCGTATTGAATCGTATATTATCGTATTGAATCGTATCGTATCGTATTGAATCGTATATTATCGTATCGTATTGAATTTTACTTGTATAGTATGTAAGAATGGAAAGTGAATATCTTTCAGGGCTACAAAGACCGTGAAAAGATAATCACAACACAGATGCCTCTATCACAGACTGTTACTGACTTTCTTCGACTGATATACGACTACCGTATCAGTACCATCGTCATGCTCAACGATCTCTCCAAAGAAGATGTGAGTAAATATTTCATCTTTCATTGTCCTACTTTATATTATTACCCCTTCCCCTCGATTTAACTCTCGTGTAATAAAGATCAAGATGAAGAAATAGAACAGAGACTGTACATGCTACTAAGATGCAACTTACAACTGTAAGCTAATTCTCAGATGGTAGAGATGGCATGCAGACATTTTGAGCATACGGTTGTTTTAAAGAATAGCCTATCCATCAGACAGTATAGTCTCCTGTCATTACCTCTCTTTACCAATGTTTATATGCGCAATTGGTAATTGAAAGCGGTTTATTTGAAACCAAAGTATATAGGTCGAGGTGATATCAGTCAAAATTGTAAAGTATGTTCTGTAATCTTTCTACCACTGGGGTTCCCCATGCTATCATCGACGCAGAAATTCAAAGTGTCTTCCTTTATCTTTTCAATCACGGAACGAATTCAACTGAACTGCCACGTATTGACAATGTTTTGTATGAGAATAATATCTAATCTGCATGCGGTATATTAACCAATGGTGTTTGGACAGGCTTCTTCTATTTACTGGGATGAGGCCAATCCAAACATCAAGCAACCTTTCTCCATGAATGTACTGGACACAGTGGAATCTGAGCATTGGACAGAACGTACATTGGAACTCAAACACAGAAAGGTATTTATTTGGCCTTCATAATCACACTTCTCAAACTTGAGTAATATTTTATGTCTCAAAGTACGTCAAAGGGAAGTATATCATGATACGGACGTTCCGTATACGATGACTTATACAAGGTGGCAAATTAACAAAAAAGGTTTTATAGACTAGCCTTTCTTTTTTCAACTGTTGTCTTTCAGAAAGTAATTATCTGAACCATAATATTATTTGTCGTGTGACTCCACTAAGTAAACCATCCTTTAAAGGGGAAGTCCACCCTGAAATTAAGTTAGTTTTAATAGGAGTAGAAAAATGAGAGAAACAAGTCAGTGAAAGTTTGAGCAAATTTCGATTAAAAATAAGGAAGTTAGGATTTTTGAAGTTGTGATCAATCAAACACAAATTGGCAACTCTATGACGTATCATGCGAGCTCAACTTCCATTTGCTCAGTACTAAAAAAATCTAAAATTTTCATTTTCCCTCAAGAAAAATTTCAACCATACATGCACCCTAAATATAATAATTGCAAATATGTTTCTATACTCCCCTGCAAGGAACAAATATATATTCCGTCATCAATAACGAAGAAAACATGATTTTATGGAATATTATGCACAAAGCAAATGAAGGATAGCTCGTATAATAAGTCACAGAGTTGCCAATTTGTATTTGATTGATCACAACTTCAATAATTCATAACTTTCTTATTTTCATTCAGAATTTGCTCAAACTTTCACTCACCTGATTTTCTTATTATTCTGCCTCTATCGAAACAAACTTATTTTGGGGGTGGACTTTCCCTTTAAGAGTCGTTTGCTGGTCTCTCCATTTATGCATTCTTGCTACAAAAGGCTTCGCTGCTGAGGCCTACAAAATTTGAGATTATTATTAATGTGAATGACAACAGTTTATCACTGTGACTTGGAATTTCGCATTATATGAATGTCTCAAATTGCTTCTTAATTTTCACGTCAATACGATAGAACACAAGGATCATCCAACATTTCCAGTTCTTATCATGGAAGGAAGTGGACTCAGTAGACTTCTACCAAACATTACTCGACTTCATGAACAATGTAACGAGCCAGCAAGGGGGTGACAGCCCAGTCCTTGTACACTGTCTGTAAGTATCAATCTCACTGACTAATTCCCGATTAGCATCTTCCTAAATAAAGATTAACACTGTGTTATGTTCAAAGTTGTTTTTAATTTTGAATAATGATAAACAAAAACTTAAGGGCATAGATTTCTGCCTCATAGATGTCGTACTGTACTTCTGGAAAGAGGATATATATTTCGGCCCCGGCCCCCCCCCCCCACTCACTGTTATTTAGGGTAAGCGTATGCAATGTTCCCTCCTTCTGAAAACACCCCCTAAGTCCGGGGTGTAAAGTCAACACGGGCCGGATTTTTGTGTACTACGAGCCGGAATTTGGTGCGTGAAAAGTACCCCTTTACCGGACATTTTGGGAACACGCATGCGGTTTCTCCGACCCGTGATTGGGGAGGGGGCGGAATTTCGGCCTATACAAAACTAGTTTTAAATTAATTTGTTTGAATATCCATTTCAAATGAACAAACTACAGGAATGGCGTTGGACGGACGGGAGTGTTCTGTGTAGTCAAGATGTGTCTAGATCAACTGGAGGTTGAAGACGCAGTCGATGTTTTTCAGATCGTGAAGGCTCTGAGACATGACAACTTCCAGATGATACAGAGTTTGGTAAGTTGAGCATTTCTTTTGTTCTTTTGTTCTAATTTCAATTTGAATAGATTTTCAAGGCTTCGATTGGTTATGATCTTTAATTCATGACATTATACTGAAATATCATGTTGGCAAAGTTAGAGAAACGACAACGAGTACATCCTATAAGAATATGAGTTTGTGATTCAAAATATCGTGGATGGCTGGTTCATAATATGGCCACATGATTTTCTACGCGTATATATTTTAAAGCATCTCGAGCTTGTTGTTTAGCTTATGTTTTATCTAAAATTGGAATGCTATATTCAGGGAGTTTCTTTCATTTTGTTTCACTATCTTTTAGGAGGATTATAAGTTGTGCTACCGCATTTTAAATCATCTGATGGCGATGTCACAAGAGAACACTCTACAATCCACTCAGGAGTTTGACATGGAAAAGGATGACGGTCTATCGGAGAGTGTATCGACAAGAACGGGTGATGAAGAGTGTGAGGATGTTGAAATTGATCCCATTGAGTACTACGCTCATAACGACGATGATATACAGGATGAAGACGCGGATAGCAAGGAAGGATTACATGACCTTGAGAAATCTCTAACAAGAGATCTTCACCTTTCCGAGTTCGATGAGGTGACCATTACTAAGCTCTAGTAGTCTTACCACAACAGTTCCGATTCCTTATTGTCAAAGGGAAACTCTTGTACTGCAGTCAAGAATCCAACACTGATTACTAGGCATTATGGGAAAACATATTGAGCGGGGAAAGCTCTATTAACGTGTACATTCCAATGACGCAATAACTTATGCACTTGAAATTAACAATGGATACGCGCAGTAGAAACGCATATTTCTTTCAGATTGATAAATTGCTCTATGTTAATATTTGCATTTACACTGCAATTAAAAATGTCGACTTTTCTCACATTCCGGGATGCATCAAGACGAAAAATCGAAATCAATAAATCCACCTCTGGAGTGTGGACTTTTGAAACGGTTGCCGAAGTTTCAACAATTTGTGGCAGTGTAAAGGCAAAATTCGGTATGATACAGATTTTTGCTCACGTGACTCTCTTCACTTCCGTGCTATTAACGTACAAACGCATGCAGGAAACCGACGAGTGGTAAATGCCCACAACTCACACAATAAAATCTGTGTGAGCAAGCTTTGACGGTTTTTGTAATGGTTTTTTTCCAGTAGTGTAAACGATCGTCCCCCAAAGCGACAATCTTTCGAAAAGATGTTTTGGATGTATTTTTTGAACGGGGTGTTTTGTCAAAATATCCCTTTTAGAAAATATGTAAGCGAATATGGTCAATTACTGAATGTTCCAGCGTTCAATGTAATGAGATATATGAACCGACAAATTCAGAATATCCTGAGGGATGTCATCGACGCCGCAGATCGAGGTTTAAACATAGTGGCATGAGGAAAATTCTGAATGCGGAGGAGAATATAAATAGTTAAATTGAACACCGAAAATGCAATAGATGCTTTATGAATTTGAGGCTATTTGCAATCTCATGCCTTTATTTGGAGTCGGGTCCTCTTGATTTCATTAAGGATGCATTCAGGTCAGAAGCGCGCAGATATGATACCGACACTAAAACTATGGCTCATTGGTGATCTCAAGATTGTACTATGCCTCAACTTCGTCTCGGGCACAGTGCAGATTCGAGATCATCTATGTTTAACCGTGCACCTCAAGCAGTCACGCTTTCCCTGCTTTGAAAGGCGTGTAGCGGATGGGGATAGATCGGGGACGCGTGAACGACTTTCAAACAAGATTGTAATCTGTAGAGTGGAAAATTAACATGAGGCTATTGGTAAGGATATTCAACACTATGTAATTTATGCTATGAAGTGATATATCTCAAAATGTCTTGAAGATTGTATTTCAGTTTGTAGGTATGGTATGCGTACTCTGTAGTACAGGCAACAACGTGGGATATCTCAAACTGTTTTACAATAAAACAAAATCTGGATGTAAGATTAGGTTGACGAGACCTCCAATGTTTTGTCTTGAAAGAATGAAATGTGAAATATAAGGTAATGATGTTGTTAAAAGTAATTATGCACTGTGGCTGGAGTGAAATATGAACAAGAGTAAACACAATCATATAAGCGTTCTTTTAGAAACAGATATGAACACCCCCCTGAAATCTTAGCTGCACATTTCTAATCATTAATATCGATATAATGTATATGATTATGGTTTGCTCGCAATAATCCACCCGTTAGGCATGCTAATGTTGATGTAGTTTTCTGTATATGCAAGTTTGCTTGTTTTTGTTTATGTTTAGAATAAGAACACGAGATCCTACATCATCGTTTAGATAAGGAACTGACATGGAGTTACTGCAATACGGATTTGATAACTGTCAGCACTAAAAAGTACAAGTATACTTCAACTGAAATTTTAAGTATACTATAACAAAAATAGTTTCCTTATTTATTTGTATCCTCCTATCCCAATTTCACCTTATTTTCATTTAAAGAAACATAGGCCTGTATGCATTTATATTCCATTTTGAAATGCATTGATGATCACTTTGAAATTTATCTTTCAAGGTAGTGACAATGACGTATATTGGTGTGACAGCAGCATATCACCTAGTACATATTTTTATGTATGGCTATGTTGTTCCTACAGACAGTTGCCTTGAGAGTCAACAAGATAAACATGTATAATGGACACCTAATCTCTCACACTTTTACCGAATTCGTCATATCGCTGTGAATTCTCACATTTTAACATCGCCGTTACCTCTCTTTTAATACGAAGTATTTAAGTACCAAGATATTCATTGAAATTTTCTTCCTCGAGTAAGGAAATATTTCAATAAAACCATTCTCTATGAGCAAACACCAAACGTATTCACACAAAAAGAAAATATTAGTTCCTTAATGTCATATTGGCCTATAATAGTAGTGAATGTAGAATGGTTGTAGAGATTTGAAGAACATTACATTTTAAATTCACGATGATTTTGCAATAAATTCTATGCACTATAAAATCCATATTAAAACCATGTTCATGCGATTTTTTGTTATCGAGTATACATTAGGTACATGATTCCCTCGCCTCATCTCACCTTTCTCTCTCTCTCTCTCTCTCTCTCTCTCTCTCACTCGCTCTTTCTATCACACACACACACACACACACACACACAAACGCCCATTCCTCTTCTCTCTTTTTGTCTGACTCTCTCTCTCTCTCTCTTTATCTCCTTTGTATTGTAGTTATCATAGACATATCTTCTTTCATCTCCGAACAACGGGCACCCAAATAAATGATGGTTCTTAACCCCTAGAACCGGAAGGTTACACAAATTATACAATCTCATGCTTCTCAGAGTATTTGAATATCTTCCAGAAACAATCGGCACATGGTAACATCTAAATCGATTCGAAAGGAAGATCAATCAAGTATCTCTAAAAATTGTAATATGCTTGATAATGCGATGATTTAGGGAATCAAAGATAAATCATGCGACAGGACCTATTTGTGCTTAATATCACTGTGAACTTCACATCTAAGAGGAAATTAAAATGATGAAATCGAATCCCTTTCCCGTGTGTCATCTTACAAGCCCTTATTTTTGACGTTATGGCGTCACACCAGTGACGTAATCAACGAATAATTTCGAGGGGGCTGAACTAGTTTTTTTCTTACTACCAGGAGCGAAAACACACTGGTCTAAAGTACACCCCCTGTAAATTATGTATCTCATTTTGCAAGGTCGAACATTGTTCTTGCTTTTTAACTTTTCACGAAGACCTCTAACGTTCAAATAAATAAAATGAAAACAAAATCATGATATTGAATTTGATATATGAATTCTTTGTTAATATTTTAATATAAAGTAACATTATTATTTTATTTTTTAGTTCATTAGGATGTCCTTTTATAACTAACCATGTAAAAGGTATGACAAGGGTCATGAAAAATAATACAGATAGCTTCCTCATTCCATGTCCGATCAGTTAGCTAAATTATTTCTTTTTAGCAGGAAAAAGTTGAAGTTTCCTTTTTCTTCGATCTTCCCGCTTTAATTTCTGGGTATATTTCGATAATTGCAGGTTGTGATGGTGTTTCAGGCGTTTCAGGCGAGACGTCTGTTTCGGTGTACTCGCTATCGCTGCGCTCATTCCTTGGTTGCTTAATTGCTAGCTGATGTGCTTTTTGCGCTCGCGATTACTTCGACATTTGCCCCAGCAGGTGTCGAGCTAGTCCAGAATTTGGCCTATTTGATTTTGATCTCCACCACACCGACGCAATATGCGACCTCAACCCTACTTAAATTACATACTGCCAGCCGAAGATGGCGTGATCCTTAAATTAGGACGAAATGCTTAGACTGGGCTAGACTAGTTCTGGACCCTATTGATTTTTGTTATTCGCCGACTATATAAGCGTTAAGCCGAGTGATGGCGCGATCCTTAAAGGGGAAGTCCACCCTGAAATTAAGTTAGTTTTAATAGGAGTAGAAAAATGAGAGAAACAAGTCAGTGAAAGTTTGAGCAAATTCCGATTAAAAATAAGGAAGTTAGGATTTTTGAAGTTGTGATCAATCAAACACAAATTGGCAACTCTATGACATATCATCCGAGCTCAACTTTCATTTGCTCAGTACTAAAAAAATCTAAAATGTTCATTTTCCCTCAAGAAAAATTTCAACCATACATGCACCCTAAATATAATAATTGCAAATATGTTTCTATACTCCCCCTGCAAGGAACAAATATATATTCCGTCATCAATAACGAAGAAAACATGATTTTATGGAATATTATGCACAAAGCAAATGAAGGAGAGCTCGTATAATAAGTCACAGAGTTGCCAATTTGTATTTGATTGATCACAACTTCAATAATTCATAACTTTCTTATTTTCATTCAGAATTTGCTCAAACTTTCACTCACCTGATTTTCTTATTATTCTGCCTCTATCGAAACAAACTTATTTTGGGGGTGGACTTTCCCTTTAATGACGGCGCGATCCCCGAGAACCGAGCGGTTCTCGGGGATCGCGCCATCACTCGGCTTTAACGCTTATATAGTCGGCGAATAACAAAAATCAATAGGGTCCAGAGATAGACTAAGACTGGGCTTGTGAGCGTTTATATGAGTTCGTTGATAACGCCATCTCCGGTGGCTTGAATCATTTGTAGGGAGTATTTAAAGAGCCGGTCAGATTCTGGACTATCGAGTCTGTCGCGCCTCTGTTGCCGGTAGTAGAGCTCGCGATGCTGCGAATGAAGTCAACTAAGGAAACTATCACACTCTTTAATCGGAAAAATATAGGACTATTAACAATAAACGTGACCTGTAGTGAGTAATCACAAATCACGGCATTGTTCTATATACGCATACAAACAAGCATGAGCTCATAAAAAGAGGAATAGTTGTGTGCATGATTTCTCCTATTGCTGTAAAAAGGGGCAAAAAGACGGTGTCGTTTAAGTTTTGTTGAATGAACCGACCTTGATCCAACAAGCAAGTATCAACAAGTCTCGACCACGATATATTTACCTCGATACAGCAGACGACATTTTCACCTTACCAGGGTGACAAGACATTTTTTTACAAAGTAAAGGTGAGATCTTGCGTTTTTCGTTTTCCTTCTTTCTATTTTGGCTAAATTTCTATGTCACTACCACGTCTGTAGAAAGGGACCACTGTGAATTTTCCTATTTCATTACATTTTCGAAACATTGGACATACATTGTGAAGTTTTACTTTTTATCGCTATCTTGCTTTTTCAATTAATTTAATGTGAAGAAAGAAAAAGTTAAAACACTCTGGAATCTCGTGTATTATATAGCGCAATAATAATAATAATAATAATAATAATAATAGCCTAATAGTCCACTCCAAATTTTATTAAACCGAAACGGAAATTCTTTTTGCCCAATTGATCGTGAGCCCGGCAGCCACTGAGCAGCGCCAGATCGACGTTGCTCTATCCCTTATTGTTGAACGCCAAACAAGGTAGCAACAACTCCCATCTTTTATGTATCCATATGGGGGAGAAAAATTACATGTCGCTGTTATAAAAGTTCCAATACTGTTTGAATCTTCAACAAGTTATATTTTATGACTGATACTATTTTAAGGGTTGTCATCTCCTTCCGTTTTTAAAATTGTATACGTCGCGAGTATCGAAACAATTATGTATGATTTATTGTCAAATACTTTGATTTGATACATTAAAATCATCCTTGCTTCGTCATTAAATATTCTTGGTTTTACTTAATATATTTCCTTTTGGAAAATTATCCAATATTTTGTTGCACCGTTTTTGTTCATATTATTTTAATTGTTTGAATGGAGACAATTGATGAATATGAACGTTGTGAGACAAAGGCAAACTGTATCATATTGTTTAAATTGCTGCGTATAGGTGTTGAATTGCTATTATTTATTATTTGTGTAAAAGAGATATGCCAACCAGAGAGAGACAGAGAGAGAGAGACAGAGAGAAAGAGACAGAGAGAGAGAGAGAGAGAGAGGGAGATAAATAGAGAGAAAGAAGACATTGTCACAAGAAACGAATCGACCACTGATACATATCTTACAGTGTACATTAATATTGCAGTCATTTTCAAACAATAGCAAATAGTTAATCAATGACTGATGTTTGCGAGGAATTTTCTACATAAGATTATGAAAGCTATAATCATATGCTTGCATCTTGACGTTATCAATGTCGTGCTCACATCTATAACCTTGTCTATCCATGTACAGTATTCATCGTTTGATTTTCGAGGATCAGCTGGCCTCCAAGAAGACATTTGTCAAGATGGTCGGATTAAGACACGTATTGGCTTTGCTACCTCTTATTTTAGTTTCGATTAATGCGTATGATGTGAAGAATCCTGAGATCTCACTCTTGACTCCTGGGGGAATCAGATTCGCATACCCAGGTGAGTATACTCTCTCATTCATATTTCACATTAGTAATTCACTATATCACTATGTTATAATGCCATTTCATCAATACCATATTGCTTCTTTTAATGTCAGCGCATAGTCGTCAAATGAAAATATTGTATAATGCATTATTGCCATTTGAATGATGAAATCTTTATTGTCCAAAATTCTATACATTCTATGCCAATATTTATTAATTTTGTAAGTATTACTTGTTATATCTAAAAATTTAGATCAGATTCAGATTAATCTTCTTGGTCCATTTGAAAATTCAGTTGTTGGCATTACATTAAGCACATGAACAATATACAATAGAAATCATTATTATTAAAATCATCATAATTATTATTATTATCATTGTTATTATTGTCTCTATTATTATTTATTATTATCATCATCATCAACAGTATTTATAATCATTATTTGCCACGGTTATATAGCTGAATTCTTTCCTTTTTTCTTCATAGCTTAAACGGTATATATTAAACTAGCCAGCATTATTGGATATTCTCTGCAATGTCTTAAGATTCTCCTGTCTCAAATAAAGAAAGAAAAAGATTCTCCTGTCTGCACCCACCAAACCAAACCGCACGACTAAAAAGCATTACACTTTCTATTACTGACTTGTAGAATAACCTCAGGATGGTTCTGTCAAGATGGAACGAATTTAGTTTTCATAGAAAGTACATTCGTTGTTGAGCCTGTGCATACAGACATTGGCATTGGTCTTTCCATGATAGTTCATTATCAATTATTGTAACAAGGTACTTAGAACTCTTGAGTTTATCCTCTCCTTTAAGCATGATGGGATTTGCTTTACCTTTGTTTGGATGAAAACCGAAAGTCATCTCTTTCGTTTTAGCTATGTTTAATACCAAGACATTTTCAATAATATTGATTTTTGTTTTAAGTAATTTTGATTTGTGTACATGTACAGCGCTTTGAAACTTTTGTCACAAGCGCTATATAAATTTGTCATATTTTCTTCACACCAATTCTCAAACATGAAAGCTCCTCCCGATATTGGCGTTCATAGTTGCCATGGCTCATGCTAATGATAGCCGCGTCATCGGCATATTTAACAATTGAGACATTGTCATTTGACGAGGTACAATCGTTTGTATACATGATAAATAATGGTGCAGACAGCACGCAACCCTGGGGGGGGGGGGGGGAATTAATTTCATCATTAATTTCTTCATTTTGAAAAAAATTATGATCAAATTTAAATTAATAAAAAATACAATTGCACAATGAAATCATAAAGATACAATTGGCGGTTGTTAGATTCAAAGCTTCTGCACCAAGTGAAGGTATGCTTAAAACTGTTTAATGATGTCCAATGTTCACGCTTGGGATAGTTTATACAACGTTCTTGAATGGGTCCTTTGCATGAAAAGATATTATTTAAAAAGGAAGAATTATCTCATACTACACGAGTGCATGTTCAGTTTCTTCTATGAATATCTTTTTCCCTCTGTGAATTGTTACCAACAAAATTCTGGTAAAAGTTTCATTGTACTATGAATACAAAAAATACCCACTTGAAAATCATGTAATAACAAACATAGGTTTTGGGACAGTTAAAACATAACAGATTTTTTTATAGCTAAGATGCAGTTTGTTCGTGTTAATCCACTCACAAACTTTACTGATTTAATTGTTCAGACTTCAGGTCAGGCATTTAACCTGTTGTATAAAGTTAATCATGTTATTACTTTCTTAATTTTTGAAAACAGTAATTAAATTGAAATGAGTGTCATCATCATTTCTGACTGTTTTAAGAGCTTCATATATAAAAATGAATGTCATGATCATTATTATTTTCATAATAAGCATTGTGATTAGATTGAAATTAATTTCATTGTCATAATTATGTTTTTATCTTGAATATCTAGATACGACCTAAAAAAGTTTTTAGACCGTTACATCACCTATCAATTGATTTTTTTTCTAGATGAACCTGGCATAACCCTGGTAGCTTTTCACTATAGCATCAATACACCGCTGTCTGGTGTTAACGTTGGTCAATATAACTATGATGTCACTACTAAAACAGGTAATTATTCAACAAAAGTTATTTTGGTTAGAAAATAAGGATGGCAGACCTTTACTGTTGATTAGTGTGTATTTTGACAGTCTGAGCAAATAACACTTAAATCTCATCTTTTATTTCTTAATTAGGGTTTACAAAATACTTGACACTGCCACCAAGCATGACAAGCGACCATATATACAAGCGTTTTATTTGCATCGGAATTTTGTATTGGATTTCGAGAGGCAAATCTTTGTTAGGGCTCCTCTTTTATGGTCAATTGGTTTATAGTATTTGGTCAGTAATATTCAATCTAGCGCCGGACTCATAATGCCGTTATAAGATTTATTCAGAAAGGTGTTGGGGTGGTGTTGGGGATGGTCAATATAACTAGTGTTCTTTTTGCCGTACATATTAGATTAAAATAAATCAAATTAAACCGGCATTTATGGTTTAAAGTTACATTATTGCAATTTAAAAAATACAGTTTTTATAAGTAATGTCATGCCTCCTCCCTAAACCTATTGATACCAATACAAATTAAACATTAAATTATTTGACATGATCCATCGTAGAATAAACATGTATTATTCGCTTCGTCTTGTTAATTTTGGATACATCTTCATAGTTTTATTAATAAAGTGTATTTATGTTTGTATAACAGGAGCATACTTCGTCCATGAAAATACAGAAGTGGATGTCAAGAAAGGTGATGTGGTGAACTACTGGGTGTATGTGAATTACTATGGCCCTGGCTATCAATTACTTGAACAATCATGGACAGCATCAGGTAAGTGGGAGTGGTTCCTAACTTCACATCCTCTCTATAGGTATATTTGATATGGAAGATTTATAATATGGGCGTTGCTTACAGCGCTTTACCAATCAAAGACAACTCCCGGTAGGTACGTATATATAGATTATGTTAGTACTATACCATTGGCGTGGCTACGAGCTCCTCGGTCAGTTACCGGTAAGTATGTCCTATATTATGATGATTCATGATCGTTTTACCTGTCTGCTAAGAAAGCATGAATGTACTCTGAAGCAAGAAAACCAGGTGACCGACGGCTTTAAGTCCTCTCTGAGGGACTTGGTAATAAGGATTAATGCCTTACCAAAGTACACCAGCGCATTAACTTGATTTCGAACACAGGACCCCCGGTTACGAGAACCCTGCTCTACCATTGAGCCACTGAACCTTCTTAGGGGCGTGGTTACGAGCACCTTGGCCAAACATGTAAATATGTAATTATGTAATCCCAGCTTGATGGCCAGGTGAATAGCCCATTGACAAAGTATTGCTTTGATGTTTTTCTTTTCATTTAATTCGTCAAGAATCACAATTTAACAACAAGAGGACGTGTGTCTTTAATCGGAAACTGAAGGATGTGAAACTTCATTCGAAATTGTTAGACCCGTGTTGATATATCGCAAAAAAGGATGACATGGTTGATCATATTGATTCAAATTGGTGAAGTGACACTAATCGAAAAAAAAACTAGAACTTTACTTTTTAGACTGCTGACTCCGTGTGCATTATCATCTATTATGTATTTAAAATCAATTTTCAATCTCTCGCTCATTAAATACATGTATGGATGTTTCACAGATTCTTCTCTTCTAATATTTTTGATATAACCATTGACATGATTGAATTCTGAGTTCCTCCGAAAAAACAGGGTACTCAATAAAATAATTGTTTCTCATTTAGGTTTCAGTTACTAAAACTGCCACATGTTTTCTTTACTTTCAGTATATTTCGATAATTTCATCGTTATTCAATGATTTCAGTGTGTTATGTTAGATATTGACATACCTGAAGGTATATACAACAATATTATGGAAACGCAAAAAGGATGCATTAATTTCTGATACTAAGTTGATGATAACAATAATCGGGGATACTGTAAGGCAATCATGTGCCCCTGCTGCAAAAGGAACAAAAATCAATTCCATGCTACTTCACGTAATTAGTATTATATCTTGAATTTCACACCTTTCTCAGTCAATCCTTGTTGGAATAATTGAAGAAGTATTTCACTGTCTCTCTCTTCCCCCTTCTCCTCTCTCTATACGTCTCTTGTCGTCGTCGTCGTCGTCGGCGTCTTCGTCTTCGTCTTGTTCTAGTTCTTATTCTTCTTCTCCTTGTTCTTGCTTCTTCTTTCTTTCCCTATTTTAATGTTTATCAATCTTTGACCTACCTGTCTGTCCCCATGTCTTTGTCTACACGTCTTTTTTTCCTCCTTTTTTTTTTTTTTTACAGAAGCTCCTGCAACCGTATCCCCTGCATCCAACCCTCCTGCAAGCAACCGTCCTGCGACCGAATCCCCTGCAACTGAACCCCCTGTAACCAACCCTCGTGCAAGCAACCGTCCTGCGACCAACCCTCCTGCAACCGAACCCCCTGCAACAAACCCTCCTGGAGTCACGAATCCTCCTAAACCAGTCACAGGTAGGGTTTTAGTCATGCTTTCTTTTCAGAATCATTGATAATTTTACACCAATGTAATAGAATCCAATGATCTGCCACGTGTCCATCAATTAATGTTAATTAGTGCACACTATGATGATGGTGGTGATTGTTTTACCTGACCGCAAAGGAAGCATTGTATGCGTGTAAGTAAACAACCAGGGGAACGACGGCTCTAAGTCCTCTCCGAGGGACTTGGTAATGAGGAATGATGCATTACCAAAGGGCATGAGCGCATTGACTTGTTTTCGAACCCGGGACCTCCCTGTTACAAGAACACTGCTCTACCACTGAGCCATATCGCGCCTCCATTAAAAGTCACTTCGTGAGAGAGTACACAAGAGTGTGAGGGAGGGTGATACTCTGGCGCCTAGCTTTAAATATCCATGTATGTATGGTTGTAAACTTCAAGAACAATTAATTGTTTAAACCATGGAACATTGTACAGTGTAGTTTAACATGTAGTGTGTCATTGGCAGGGTCATCTGTGGTCCCTTTTTCAACAAAAAAATGAAAACAAGCAAGAAGCAGAAAATATAACAAAATTTGATAAAGCATTAACAAAATGAATTTCGTTATTACAATTAACAGAAACTGAGAACTATTTTTTTTAAAACGAGAAACGCCCCTGAAACGACGATGGTATAATCGTTTGTATTCCCACATGACCCCATCCCCACCATCGTCAATATTTACCACCTCATATAAAATCGATTCGTACTTGCACATCGTTATTAGTTTAAAGAGAAGCTCTTTAACCCTTACTGTACTGGGGGGGGGGGGGGCTTGGGAGGCCCCCCTCGACATTTTCGGAGATTGCACCGCAACCGCTCGGAATTTTGAATTGTCGTTTCATGACTTTTTTCCCTCAAGTCTTACGCACATTTTGATATCATTTTCGTCGAAATCGGATATACCTGTAAGGTGTTACATAATAATTAGTATGCGCATGTCATCAAAAAAGTGCTATAATTGCATATATTCATGTACAAGCAGAAATGTGAAGATATGAATTGATATCAAATTGCTTTTATATGTTTCTCAAAGTAACTTGATGTATTTCAGAACAAAAGAATACATTAGAAATAAAACAATAGATATAATAAGTAATAAAAAACAATAAAATACATAAGAAAATAAATAGTTAAAAATCGCATAAAATTTGCATAAATTATCATTATTAATTACATCAAATTACTATTTTGTGTTAGAAAAGAAGTTTCATATGAATAATGAGTTTCAACATTCAAAAAGTGGAGTCTGACAATTTTTGTAATGATTCTAGTTCCCTATATGTATTTCCAGATTTGATATTCTTAAATGCTTATTCATAATTTATGCAAATTAACCTATGCATTTTCAAATATCATAAAAATAATGAACCTCATGAATTTGAGATGAAGGAAACATTTGTTCAATACATTTTCAAGATTCTTCACAAGTCTACGGACAAATATGTAGAGTTTTCTGTAAAATGCATAAAATTTGCATTTTGCATAATTAATTAGGCTATAACGACAAAAATTTTAGGAAAAAACTAATTATACCATCTTGTTCCTTACGTAAATATCTACAAACATGCAAATTTTCGCGTTCATCGGACATTCGACGGCCGAGATCATAGGGGGGGGGGGGGGCTCCCAGGCCCCCCCCCCCCCCCAGTCAGAGAGTGCTCGAAATAGCCCAGTACAGTAAGGGTTAAGAAGTAATAGAGGTAGATTGGTAGTAATTGGCAAAGAACGCCTGAGAAACGCAACTATTTGCTGCTATTAAGTAGACACTGGATATTTAGTATCAACAACGTAAGGGGGGCTTGATTTGCCTTTTCTATCTACACATATCAATTATTTAAGTCGAAAGACTCTACTTTGTATCTTTATCATGTCTTGTCAAGTGACTGTGTAAGCAATGTTCCCATTGATTCGTTTTTAATAGTCGTGACTGTCTAGGTTCAATAATCAGCTGATAAAAAATCAGATTAAAAGGTTACAGAAGGCTATTGTAGAAGAAGGGGGTAAACAAAGAAATACTAAGAGCACGTAGTAGGACCATGGTGAGATAAGGGCTGGCAAAGAGGTAGATAATCAACAATGAAATGAGTAGAGGGTAGGGTGAGAGGTAGCCTTTAAACAAGGCCACATGTCTGAGAGACGCCGAGCGACTAAAAAGAGACTAATCGCGACAACCTGAGTGAACGCCATGGCGTTCACTCAGGTTTTCGCGCCAGTGCGAATTGCGAATTGCGAATTGCCCAGACAAGTCGTCACTCGGTCGCGCGTTCACCCCGGGTTTCTAGACTCATCTCAGCCGCTTAGCCAGAGTCACGAGGCCTTGTCAAAAGGCTAGGTTAGAGGTGGCAGTTGGGTCAACTATGACATGATGTTAGGGTTAGGTTTGCAAGGGGTACGACATTAAAATGGTCAGAGTGGATCGAACGTTATGACTGATGGGAGAGGGGGTATGAGGAGGTAAAGGCGGGTGAAGACTTAATTATACTAGCGTAACTAGTATATCCGGGATTTAACCACTAGGTCGCATGCGACCATTTCGGTTTTTGACAGAGTTGTCGAGCACATTATATTAGAGAGTTAGAAGGGCTTGTTAGGGTTAGGGTTAGGGTTATTAGGGTTATATAGTGCTTGATGACAGATACCGGTCGGGATAGGACACGGTATGGGTGTTAAGTTAATTTTGTTTTACTTGTATCAGAAACTGATACGAACTATAAATACTATCCGATCATTAACAAACTTCATTTTGGTTGGCTACAACCCCCCTCCCTTCCCCCATCGTGATCTCATTTACATCTAATGTTCTATACTACATAAGCTATAGCTATCGCCTCCCTTTCATATCATCTACTCTCCAGTAGACAAGGAACATATTTTCTGATTCCTGACATAATATCAAGTGCTGGTTTACGGAACGGACCTGAAATCCTATAATTAACCCCCTCCCCTTAAAAAAATCATGACGAAATGAAATACTCATCCCTTTATTAACTGTTCTCCCTATCTCTATCAAATAACTTTTTTAAAGGAAGTTTAAAAAATCCCTTTCTCAGGGAACTTTACCCTACATATTTGCAATCAATTAGGCTGTCCTTGCAATCTTTTTCTCTCTATTTGAACTTGCCAAGGGTTTGATATATATTTTGGCCAACGTCCTTAGAATTCAACCATATCTTCAAATACGAGAAACGCCCCTTGAATGGCGATGATATAAGCACTTGTATTCCCACAGGACCCCACCCCCACCGCCGTCAATATTTACCACCTCGTATAAAAGCTCTTCGTACTTGCACATCTTTATTAGTTTAAAGAAAAGCTCTTTAAGAAGTAATAGAGGTAGATCGGTAGTAATTGGCAAAGAACGCCTGAGAAACACAACTATTTGCTGCTAATAAGTAGACACTGGAAATTTAGTATCAACAAGCACAGTACAAACAACAAAAGAACAATCAAATTTTGAAAAGAATTTAGTCACCTTACCTGATTTTCTTTATTTCCAAACTTCGCGTTCATATTCTACCTTATTAAAAGCAGTTAATTCGCCTTCATATTCTACCTTATTATAGTGAAGCCAGAAGATAGGAACGCAGGCTCAAGTGTATACAATTCAAAGTCATTCTGCCACTTCCTACTGGTACATCTCATCTCTACATGCTCTAGTCTATATGCCTCGTGCCAATACACGAGGCGCCCTTTCCTCCTTTCTTCTAGCATTTTAATCCAGACACATATTAGTACATTACATTTGCATCAATTAAAATGATTTTAAAATTCTACCACCTGAGTGCATGCCTGGTTGCTATGTCAGGGAATTAGGCGTGCAGGTCAAGAAGACATCAAACAAAAGCTACAAAGTCATTTCCTTCCATTATCAAAAGCAGTTGTTTATTTGGCGTTTATACTATACCTTTTACAAAAGCAGTATTTCTCTAAGATGTCAACAGCAACCATGGAAATAAAATTCAATAGGAACCATCAATCGAAGAATGATTTAATTAGTGATGAAAAGACAATGAGGATTTCGTCATCATATTGGTTGGCGTTTGGGCTCGTAGTAGTTGTGACGATTGGTGCCTATGGTGCCGCGATCATCACAACTTTGGTATTAACAATAGGAAATGGCTCTGGTAATGCTGGTGATGCTAATCCTGTTGTTGGTGAGGAGTTAAGAAAGTCACGTTGATGGATGTGTTGTCTTGATGATTCTTTCACATAATTTTAATTATTGAGATTGGATACGACTTTTTGTTTTAGAATCAGTATTTGTTATATTTGTCAATGCTGATTTCCTCTCTCACCAAAGTATTATATCTATTTTATGTCTTCTTTTAAAAATTCATATATTTGTTTATTATCATTTGTACTATTGTGTGATAAACGGATGCGTTTAGAATAATGCTTTGATCAAAAGTTTATTTGTAAAGGGGCAATACTTGTTGTCTCTGTTTGAGATGAGGTTTTATGTCATAAAATATTTTATTGATATCGACGCAGTCAGAAAATATCGTCCTAAATACCTAATATTTGCTGGACATAATTACAATGGGAAAACATATCGTTTCCAAATACCCATATTCGTTAGACATCATTACATTGGGGAGAAAATATAATTCCACAAATTCATGTTCGTTGAAGTCCGTCACAATTATTAAATTAAGGTGGTGGATTGAAACACAATCATCCAGCATTTATGAATGTTATTTTTGTTTACAGGTATCCCATCGCAGTGTAGCAAGTATCCTTGCTATAAATCATGTGACATGTCAACTCCACCTTGCAATGGTCTCATCTTCCAAGAAGAGTTCGATTCTTTAAATCTTGACATATGGGAGCATGAACTGACTGCTGGAGGAGGAGGGGTATGTTAAATCATTACTTCTCAAATGAAAAATAATCAAAGTAATCACACATTCTTTTCAAAAATGTAAAAACTGCTTTCATTAGAATGTATTGCTTCTAAATCTTATTCTTAAAACAGTGAGTTACATTCATTATGCTATAATCTACTGTAAGAAAATCTAAGAGACAAACGAACACGCCAGCCCATTACTAATAAAGGTTTCAACATATCACTTGCATTACTGTCTTTCTTTCTTTCTGGCTTCGTTCCCTTCTTCTTCTAAGGTTCTTCTGTCTTTGTTTTGTATTGGTTTGTTGGCTGTTTTTGGTCGTCTTCGGGGCTTTTAAAGAAAAATCGTGTAATTTATTTATTTATTCACTTCGGACCATCCCCGGTACATGGGCTCGCTTGTCCTGCTCTCCATTGATAAGAATAGACTACATGAACAGATTTCAATGAAATATGCTGATGCTGATGGCAAATATCCATGCAAATAAAAGCTAAGCTGTACATTAATTTGCTTTGATATTCATTTATATTTGCAGAACTGGGAATTTCAATATTATACCAAGAACGTATCAAACAGCTATGTTCGGGATGGAAAACTCTTCATAAAACCAGTATGTATCATCATTACTATCCCCGGGTGTTTGTTTGTGTATTTTTGATTTTGTCGAATTTGTTATATTATTTTAATATATCTCAATACCTATATTCGATAAACATTGTAATGTTCTTTTTTTATAAATCCTTTTAAAATGATACGAGAAGCAAATTATACCATGAAGTTAATTGGCTGGGATAGATGTATACGAAACAGGGAAACTATGAAAGCGATCGAACAAAGAATAGGATATTTATAGATTTCTCAGAAACGGAAAAATTCTCCCAAGGCAATTCGGTCATGGAGTGTGATTTTATGTATAAAATACCTTTTTCATTGATCCCACACTAATACCCCTGAAAAATATCTCTTCAGTTTATAGAAGAGACTTTTTCCTAGTAAATGATATTGATTGGTTAATTGATTAAATGATTGGGTTTCTAATAATGAAAATGATAATGATGATAATGATAGCCTAATATTCCACTCCAAATTTTATTAAACCGAAACGGATATTCCTTTTGCCCAATTGATCGTGAGCCCGGCAGCCACTGAGCAGCGCCAGATCGACGTTGCTCTATCCCTTATTGTTGAACGTCAAACAAGGTAGCAACAACTCCCATCTTTTAACGTCTTTTGGTATGACGCGACCGGGGTTCGAACCCACGACCTCCCGGTTGTGAGGCGGACGCTCTACTGACTGAGCCAACACTCCGATATATTCTGTTCTCCATATTAAACAGTGGTATCTTCAGTAAATAATACTGCATGATGCAAGAAATGTTAATAGTGCAGCACACTATTTGCACAGATGAATGTGGTTATGAATACTAATTTCTTGTTTCGTACACCCCTCTTTATCCTTCTATCCCTTCTTTTTATCTATGTTTATCTCTCATTTTTTATCAGACCCTAACCACCGATAAATTGGGAGAGGGTTCGCTGTCATCTGGAACATTAGACCTTTGGGGTGAGTTCTAAGCTTTAAATCCACCAAGTCATCGAACAATGATGCAGTCGAATACAAAGAGAGACAATGAGTGAAGAAATGTATTAAATGTTGCTTTATAAATTGAAATTTGGTCAATTGTACATGTATTTATTGAATCCCATCATATCTGAGCGAGTCAGCAGTGTATCCAGACATTGGCCCCAGGAAGGCCAAACATAGATAATGGGGGGGGGGGGGGGGGGTTGGAATTGTCCAAAATAACGTGTCTTTATTTCGTTCGTTTATATGTACATTGACTTAGAATTCTGTTGATTCTCTATAAAGCTGCTATTACTTCTTGTAGAAAAAGTGGCTGATTTTTTTCTTCCTTTCTCTTCTTTAAAAAAAAGAAATTTGTTAGTTCAGTCAATCTGCCTTCTAGGTAGTGAGATATGTCATCTCTTCCGTTTTTTCGAAGTATTGGGCGTTCTAAATCTCAAACGACCAAGCAGTTTGCGTGGTACTATTGGTCAATACTTAGTCACAAAGATTAGAAGAAAAAAATGTTAGATATTTGAGAATGCCAGTTCTTATAAATACGATTTTTTGTTAAGTTTTTCTTATTATATGGCAAGGATTTGAACCTTAAACATATTCCAATTGTGGAAATATCCTCCGTCATGATAATGAAAAAACGGACAGAATTATATCAAGAAAAGAGAAATAATTCAACCATCATGTTATGCATTATGTTTCTATGTTTACGATATAGGTTCATCCCCAGCTAACTTGTGTACCGGCAATGCATGGTTTGGATGTATGCGACAGGGATCCGATAATAATCTATTGAATCCGATACAGTCTGCTCGTCTGCGTACTGTCGAATCTTTCTCATTCAAGTATGGACGGCTGGAGGTCGAGGCTAAGCTACCCACTGGTGATTGGCTCTGGCCAGGTATGACGTCATTGTAATGGTATAATTAAATGAAACAGGATAATGATGGTTTTAATATGATTCCTAAAACCATTATAGAAAGTCAATAGCAACCAATTTGTATGAGTCAGAATGGATCGTAATTTTTAATTGAAATTGAAATTTCTCCCAGGAAACATTACATTTATAAAAGGATCGAGATTTGTTCAAAGTTCTGAGACCTCATAATTGCCAACATAATCACATTAATAATTGCATGATAACATTTAAAAAAGACGTAATTAATTTACAATCTAGAAGGATAACATTCTCATGCTGAATTTATCCTGCCCTATTTCTCGCTGTAGGAAAAATCCAGAACGGTGTGCAAGAGGGGAGGGGCACAAACCTGCCCATTTCCTGGCTAGAAAAAATATAAAATATATATTTTTTCTAAATCACAAAAATCACAAGTGCCCCATTGGGTTTTAAAGGGAACATGGCCCCACATCTTAATTAAACGAATAGTTATCAAATGTTAAGTTGAAATGAAATAAATAGATGGTATTTTTTTTTTTACAGCTATCTGGCTTTTGCCTAAGCATAACGCATATGGCGAATGGCCTGCCTCTGGAGAAATAGATCTGCTTGAAAGCAGAGGTGAGTATAAGCATACTGTCATGATGGGTAACAATGAATCAAGGACTATGAAAACAAAATCTACTATTTTGAAAAAATCTACCACTACTACTTATAATAATGGTAGAAATAATAACAATATTAATAATAATAGTAGAAATTATAATAATATCAATAATAATCTTATTAATAATGATGATAACAATTATAACAAAATTATAAAAATAATAACAATGATAAAAAAATGATAATAATGATGATAAAACAATAATAATAATAATATTGATAACGGAAATAACAATAATAATTGTTCAGAGTGTGCACTTTCTGCTATAGTACCCCTCAAGGTGCTAAAATGCAATATGATAATAACTTGAGTATTATCTGAACAAAAACAAAACAATATCAGATATAATACAATAATAATTCTTAGTAGCTCTTGGTGAAAAGGATCTGCTTGGTACTCGTTTGAAAAATGATGCACTAATAGTACGCATTATCTATTTCTGAGATGATGATAACTAGATATAAAAAAAAGGGCGAATTGGAGAGGGGCACAAAGAGTACGTGCCCCATTCACCCCTCCCCTCAGCAAAACAATGCGATTGACTGTATTACTAAAGTAATTGTTTTTGATCGTGATTAGGTAACACTAACCTCAAAGACGCGGATGGTGTATCAGCTGGAGTAGATCAGGTGGGCTCTACTATGCATTGGGGACCATTCTGGCCTCTGAACGGATATCCAAAGACACACGCAACAAAGTAAGTCTATTATACCAAGGAGATTAAATCTCCTTGATTATACATGGCATTTAATGGCTCGTTCAGATATAGTTTTTCAGATTTATTTTTGTATGTGTAAATGAACTGCGCGCAGCAATATATGGTCCAACGCGTGTTCATTAATAAGCTCTGTATTATAGGATATAAAAGGCGGTGTCAGGCAGAGGCCAATTATCTAGATAATTTGCTATCTGTCATCAATTATCCCGCGAAAAATCCTAGAAAGAACTAACAAAACAATATCTTTTTTTAATATCATGGTTCACCACTGCATATCTGAACAAGGCTTAACGGTAGAGGAGTGAAAACTGTCATGCTGAATTACCTCTGATTCGTAGTTTGTGTATCACGTCTTTGATTTGCTGATATCACTATGAATATGACGGACAAAGAAAGAGGACAAAATATACAGTTCCTCATTCTACCCTCAACCATTGCTGTGGTAGACAAAAGAACATCCCTTCACTGCTATTATCATGTGAAAATGTGTAGAACAGGTGAATATGCATGTGACACCTGTTCTAGACATTTTTACATAATAGCAGGGAAGGGATGTTCCTTTATCTACCTGAGGAACTGTATATTTTGTCCTCTTTCTTTGTCCGTAATGTTCATAGTGTATGAATGACTGGACACTGTAAATTGTTGTTTTAATCAGGAATCTCCCCGAGGGACAAACCTTTGGATCAGGCTTTCACAAGTACGCATTGGACTGGACTCAAGACTCAATGAAGTATGTCATTTGATTTACAGCAATCTATAAAATTCGTATTACTCCTTTCCATGTATTATGTTGGTCATGGATATAAACACCAATCATAATATGCAGATATAATGCACCTTAATCATGTTACTGGATTCCATTGTAATTATCTTGAAGAGCCATGTAAGTCGGTAAAGGCAGTTACAGTAGCAAGAACAGTAAAGCTCGTAAATTAATGTTGATGATTAATATATATATATATTTATTATTATTATTATGCCATTTTTCTTTTCATTTATTATTCTATATTATGTTTATGTTTATGTTGATCGTTCAATTATCCTTTAATTTGTATATTATCACAGGGCTCCATGGGAGTCCAATTTTTTGTTGAATGGGCTACCCGTTTTTTTTTAAATAAATAAATAAATAAAAAATAAATAAATACAAAGTTATTACAAATATAAAGGGGGGAGTCATTTAAGAGATACATGGAAACAATATTAATAATTGAACAACTATGTTTCTATGCATTACTGCAAATTAGATTAGAAAATGACAAACGGTAATTTTTTTACATAATGTTGATAATCGACCTTCTTGTATATTGCAGTAATTGAGTCGTGTGATATATGGGTAAATCAGATAGCAATAATTAAAACGGAAATTGCAATTTAAATTATTTTGGTATACAGTTAATGTAAAATTGTAAATTGTAAAGTTTAGAATGAATTCAATTGCAATACTAATAATTTTATTGATTGTGTGATAACAATTATAGATTCTACGTGGATGATGAGCTTCTATTGAATGTCGATCCTGGTACAGGCTTCTGGGACTTGGGTGAATTTGAGACTGATGCACCAGGCATTGACAATCCATGGGCTTACAATCCTAATAAACTCACTCCATTCGATCAAGAGGTACGTTCAGTATAAACTCATAAGATTAGTAAAATAAAATTATCGATTTTAATTATCCTGTACTTCAGATTAGTAATCAAAGTGAACAAGGGCGATTCGGTTTTTAGAAAGAGGAATTTTGAAAATATGTATCAACAGCAAAATTGATGCAGGTCTTCTTTCCTCTAAAGAACTCCATTTTATTCTGTTTCAATAAACCAGGTCAGTGTAAAAAATGATTTCCCCTATTTTTAACAATATTTTTAACAAGATATTTTCGCCCAATTAAATTTTGATCTGGCATCCTCTCCCTCCCCCTTTTAAAACGTTCTAACGACGACTTGGTCACATGCTTGTCATTTCTTAGATTGAAAAATAGTTACCAAAAGAATTAGCATTAATCCCATTCTTTTAACTCTCAACACAAAAAATATATATAGTTCTACTTGATCCTGAACGTAGCTGTAGGAGGAGTCAACTATTTCGGTGATGGGCTGACAAACACCCCTCCTAAACCATGGACTAATGACTCCCCTACGGCTTCTAAGGATTTCTGGTCTGGTTATAACGATTGGTATCCTACATGGAATGGTGAGGAAGCAGCTATGCAGGTAAACTATGTTCGTGTGTACGCAGAACCCGGGCAGACAACTTATCACCTCCGTGATCGTTAAATAATGTACCATCAAAACCTGCAGTGATATGTAAAAGAACCACGCAAATTAGTTCTTTTCAATCCATATTAAAAGAAGGTAATATCTCATTTTGGAATTCCAATGAAAAAAAAAAGGCAATTTTTTAGATGTCTGTGAATATAGCGTGTTCTTTAATTATATTTATGTTCCTTATAAATTATATTGTTTGAACAGATGTCAAATATGTTGTCAAATTAAATGGAAGAAGTAAATGTTTATTTGAATTGAATTGAATTGAATATTATATTCCAATCAAATACGACGTGTACAAACTTGAGTAGTTTACACGACTACGATAATGACAATACGAAATTATACAAGAGTAGAATTCTTACTTCCTCTTTGACAACCATGTATTAAAATGATGCTGATGAAGCCTTCTGGGTAAACTTAATTATTATTATATTTTCATGAAACCTCCCTCGAGTCCCTCCACACCTTGATATCACCATCTCTGACTGTCAACATGCATTTTTAATAATAATAATAATAATAATATTTAATTTTTATATAGCGCTTAATACAAATGTCTCTAAAGCGCTTTACAAATAATGGTTCCCTTGTTTTGCTTCCTACTAAGCAACCCATACTGTGTTATTAATTACTTGAGTATAAAAAATGGTTAGTTACATCAGAGTATTGACTATTATCATTGAATTCCATTCATGCCCATGGGTTGATAACGTAGGTAGCTTTCAAATTTACAAATGTATCACCATCTGTAAAGGTGTATATTATGAACGAAAATCAGTGATTTAACAAAGTGAAAATTCATGAATATTTCTGCTCTGTGTGACATATTAACCCTGGCTATAGAGTTCATCTGGTACTTTCAGAATCAATTGAAGATACATATATAATAAAGATTGAAATGAATAATTAATAAATTAACATTTAAGAACTATATATAGATCATTTTAGTTTGTCTGTCTGGTTGTTGTATGATCTGGGCCCCATAACACAAATCTAAGTTAGCGATTTGATCGTATGATTGTTCTTTTTGGCGATCGATTGCATTAAATACTATGTGCAATGAATTACACAGATCAATCGTACGAATAATTGCAAAGCTGTGTTTTACGGGGCCCAACATGCCAATATTCTGCTGGGCTTAGGTTACTATTGATTAATGAGCCTACGAATCAGCAGGTGAGAGAAAAGAGAGAACACAAAGACGGGGAGAACAGAGAGAACATAAAGAGAGAGAGAGAGAAAGAGAGAGAGAGAGAGAGAGAGAGAGAGGGAGTGGGAGGGGGAGAAGGGCAACAGGACAGATATAACACAAAGAGAGAGAGAGAGATAGAGGTGTGGGAGAACGATGGAAAACAAAGAGAGAGGGAGAGAGGGGTGGGAGAACCGAGGAAACATAATGCAAAGAGAGAGAGAGAGAGAGAGAGAGAGAGAAGTTGGAGAACAGAGAGAACACAATGAGACAGATGTCTAAATAAATTACTAAATTCACTTTAATTTACATATTATTTCAATCACACTCACTTATTCTCCGTCACCTGAATCTTCTTCGTGCATTAATCTGCATATTTGAATTGACGCAATGAGGTCAAATAATTACCATGTTTCTTGAACGATACTATACTACTGAACGATGAAATACATATTCCTGACGCTCTCATCCAATCATAATGCCGCCTACTTTGCTTATTCCGTTTCAAATGATCTAAAAGAGACGGAGCCTAACGACATTCTCGTAATGATTTCTGCGCGTAAAGCTTTCCATTCATTTACAAAATAATATACAGAGTGGGTCAGAATTTTTTTCTCCACTTTTTAAAAGTTGTATTGTTTGAAGTATGAACATTTAATCATGAGTTTCAAGATATGTCTTGATATGGTTATCCTCTCAATATGTTTAGGTACAATTTTAATTTTAATCTCTGCATGCATGACTTGAACATCAGACAATCTTTACAAGACTACCAGATCTCACTTGCGCCAAGTTACTGGGTGAGAAATAAAACAGTGCATTGAACAAAGACAGTCAGACACACACACACACGCGCGCTCACACACACACACACGCACACAAAGTCAAACGCGCACAAAAAATACACGAAAATTATGAAAAATCCAGTTAATCCTAGTCTCTGTCTAATCTCTAGAGTCTAGATGATGGGTCTATGTAGGCCTACAGGTAGTCAAAACCACATTAATTGTAAAAGAGGACGTACATAACAATTATAAAAATTGTACTGCCGCTTCTTTATTATTATTTATTCGGCATTTCAAAATACAAGAACAATACAGAGTAATATGCAAATTACAGCAATTACAGGAACATATATATATATACATGATAAAGAAAGGACCTGAATCAGAGATGATGGGGCTGCCTGGGTTTGGAAAAGGTTAACTAAATTACCATGACCCACAGGTCTTCCTTCCCACAAGGCTAGCTTGTTAGAGACAAAGTTTATTTGTGGTGCTGAATTCTGACGATGCAGTCTCTTCTTTGTGTTGTACCGACACGAGAGCTGCAGTACTACTTGGTCCCGGTCCTGGTCCTGGACTAGTATTACTAATAATAGCGTGATGAATGCTAGCAGAAGTGGATGGTGCTGTAGATGGGATTTCATCACTCATTTATGAAGGGCATCTGATCATGCGTATTAAAACAATTATGTATGATTTGTATTAAATACTCTGCCTTCATACGTTAAAATTATTCTTGCTTCTTCATTTAATATTTGTTGGTTTTACTCAATATATTTCCCTTGGCTCCATAATACACATGTATATATTGCATTGTTGCACCGGTTTCTATTTTTCAATATAGATACTCTGTCTGTTTTATTGATAACGATTGTCTATTCTAGACAATTGATGCATATGAACGTTGTGAGAAAAAGACAAACTGTATCATATTGCTTAAATTGCTGTGCTGTGGGATGTTGACTTGTTATCGTCTTTTTGTATTATTTTTGTAAAGGAGAGAATACCAGCGAGAGAGAGAGAGAGAGAGAGAGAGCCACAGAGAAAGAGAGAGAGAGAGAGAGAGAGAGAGAGAAATAGAAAGAAAGGAGACATTTTCATAAGTGTCACGTGAGAGACTTTAAAAAAAAAATTATTATTGCTACGGACACACAGAATAAAGGGAAATAGAGCTTGTTAATTAAAGTTAAATTGTAACGTTTAATTTCCAATCATTTCTCCTGTTTCACACACTTTGTTTTGGCTTCAGTAATAATACAGTAGGTCTATGTAATTAAACTTATCTTTAACAAAAATAATTCTGGATGGGTAGTTTCCCGTCTGACATCGACGCCGGTCAGAGCTCGTGTCGTCCACTTGGCCCTGGCCTCCGCAGACGGCGTCTTTGCTCCACTTGGCCCCGGTAGTCGCCCCGGATTCTTGACCTCCGCAGACTGAGATACGATGGTGTGCGTCCCGATCCCAGACAAGAGCTAGCCCCCGACGAAAGCTATGGATAACCCGGTAGCAGTTGAGCTAGCCTCTCGTCCCGACGTGGAATTACCCTCAGATATTGACTTTAATTGCCGACTTCTAACATGACGTTCAGTCTATTATAGCTTAGGTGGTTCTCCTCGATTGCAGAAAATCCACCTCTTAATATACCCTATACGGTTACTAAGTAAATTCTAAAAACATGACTACAAATATTTGGAGAGGAAATCATCTTACAAAGGAAAATACTTGTATTGAAAAGAGGCTTCCTAAATGTGTGCCAAACAACAGATAAAACATGTACACTGAATTAATGACTTCCCCAGGCCTATTCATAGGGAACAATACAGCTTGGCCTGAAAAGAAAACATCTGACCTTAACATCTTCACCTGACCTTAACAAAGAACACTCCAGACCAGAGAGCTAAACAAATACATTTCTTTCCTGACAATAAGCAACGAATCGACTAATTAATGATTAATGTTTTGAGGAATTTTCTACGTGAGATTTTGATAGCTACCTATGGTTGCATCTTATCGTTATCAAAATCGTGGTCGCAGCTGGTAATTTTTCCATGAATTCACAGTATTCATCGTTTGATGTACGATGATCAGTTAGTCGTTAGGACACATTCGTCAAGATGGTCGACTTAAGACACGTATTCGCTTTGCTACCTGTTATATTAATTTCGATTAATGCGTATGATGTTAAGAATCCTGAGATCTCACTCTTGACTCCTCGGGGAGTCCGATTCGCATACCCAGGTGAGTAGACTCTCTCATTCATATTTAACATTAGTAATTCACTATATCACTATGTTATAATTCCACTTCATCAATACCATATTGCTTCCTATCATATCAGTCAATGTCCGCTCATAAGCGTCAAATGAAACAGATAGAAATAAATGTTGTATAATGCATTATTGCCATTAAATGATGAAATCTTTAATGTCCGAATTTTCGCAAATGAACTTAATATTTCGTAGCGGAATTTAGACAAAAACTGAATTGTAATAAATAAAAGCTTCCTCAGATGCAGTCTTTGCAAACATTTATTAACTTTAAAGTATTACTTTTTATCTCTAAAAATCTGTAGCAGATGTGTGTTTTTGTGTTCAACACATAACACAGTGTCATGGGATCGTTAACATCGTCAGCACTGAAAGTTTCTTGGTTGCCTTATATTTCCTATGATCTACCCTATAACAAGTCTATCATGTTGATAAAGTTATCAGAAATACTAACATCTATGATGTAGTTGGTACATTTTCGGGATAAAATACCTTAGACTTACCGATTTCGCTCTCTGATTCTCAAATATATTTCTAATCGTTTGCTAGTCATCATTACGTTCAACATTTTACATATAAAAGCTTTATTTTTTATATTATGTTGCCTCAAAGGAAAGAAGAAGAATTTTAAAAATAAATATTATCATTTATTTCATCATCCCGAGCATTATTTAAGATTTAAGAAGTTGATTATTGCAATCATGATTTTCATTAATCCAAGCCTTATTATTAAATGAAATTAATATAATCATTGATTTTTTTATTATAAACTTTTTGATTAACCGAAATTAACTTCATCATAATATTGAATTGTAGATGTATATATATAATAATCATTACGTGTTGGTTATTTCAATTATGAAGCAAACAACTTTAAAAAGTTTATAAGAAGTCGTCTTTATTTATCACAAATCCCATCGTAAAATTATAATCTGCGTCAAATTACAAATAAGTATATATGATACTATTATTTTCTTTAGTGAAACTTATCGTTAGAGTTGATGTACAATTCACAGCACATCCAGCTTTCTTCACATACAGAAGTATATTTTCCCTACCTTTATTCGGACAAGATGTGCATTCCTGTTCATTAAATATAAGTATCCAGATTAAAATAAAATTTAATATAAAAATGGTCATTACTTTCTTCGTTTTGATTAAATTGAAATTCCTTTAATCATCAGTACTTTTTGCATATTAAGCATTCTAATGAGATTAAAAGTGATATCATCATTAACTTTTTCTTCATTGTAAGCATTCTGATTAGACTGAAATTAATTTTATCATTATCATGAAAGTTGAAACTGATATTATATAATATTTATGTTCTTCATTGTATTAAGCATTTTGTTAAGACTGAAATTTATTTCATCATCATTGAATAGAATTTACTCACCACTTTCATACAACATGCAAAGTCAAATCATACCACTTTAGATTTCTTACAAATTAAGTCAAGATATAAAACGTTATAAACACTTATAGGTAGATGATCCTATACAAAATATATAACAAAAACTAACAGAAAATGATGCACAACGTTCACCACTAGCGTATGCATGATTTTTTCAAGGGGGGGGGGGGGGGTTAACATTTTTAAATCGAGCCGAAAATTTTGCAACGACTCAGCCAGCCGCTGAATAAGCGGGGGGGGGGGGGGAGGCTAAGAGGACACTTTTTTGTTTTGTTTGG